GAACCCCCCCCCGAAGCCAAAAAATATTACCAAAAAAAAAAAAAAAAAAAAAATCACCCACTGTCACATCAATGAGGGACAGCAACAGTGGACCTGTCTTCTGGTTTTGGTCTATTCCAAGACCCCAGTCTAGCCAGGTGCTAAAGCAATTTGTTCATGCTCAGCAAGCTGATATGCTTTGCTGAGCAAAGCAGTGGGCCTTAAAACCGTCAGTCAGTAGGGACCTCAAGGCACCATTATTGAGCCCTTTTAATATAATCTCCCTGTGTGCTGCAGAGGTGCCTCTGCTGAGTGACAGTTTCATCCTGTGCCTGACAGAGCCAACAAAAGCCGCTCCCTTGGTCTCAGAGGAATGCAGGGTAACTATACATCTACACCCTGGCTAATGAATTTCTTTCTCCCTCTTTCTCCCCTTCCTCCTTTGTTGACATGGCTTGTGTCATGCAAAGAACTGTGTTTAAAATTAGAGGAATTTCTAGTAATGAGAGAAATTCAAACTTTTGGTAATGCAAAGAAACTAAAAAATTTCCTACAAAAGGGTTTATTCTTTTGAAGGGGGAAATGCACTCTCATTGCTCTGGTTTGTACAGCACCAACATATACACAGCACCACGCAGTGCACAAAAGCGACAGCAGCTCCTGCCCCCAAAGTGCTTGCAGCTCAAGGACTGACACCTACACAGCCTGAGCTTTAAAACTATGAATCTCATTCATGTAAACAGGATCTCTGCAGAACTGGGATCCAAAAAAGGGACACTACAGGAAATCCAAAACCTTAATGAGGAGTTTTGTGCTTTCCCTTTTGTCAGTAGAGTTAAAATGGCATCTTAGGACTGACAACAATGTTGTGCTTGTGGCTTCTCAAACAAAGATGCCTTTGTAAAGGGCAATAGAGTGATTAGAGGCAGAGGACACACATGGACCAAGGTTATAAAATTGGTGGAATTCAAGGTGATGTGAGTCATGTTCAAGAATATCGACAGAGATAGAGCTACAAAAGAGTCTGGGGCAAGAACATTAAGTTTGTAATCCTTATCAGCCCTCAGCCCCTCTGTGAAAACTGCCAGCCATAACATCCATCAGTTGTTCTGATAAGAGCTGTCATGATAAGCGATATAAGTAATGTTACTTCTATCTGCAGAAACGTTTTTCTGGCCATGTGGCTAATTTGATTACCTCAGTGCTCTAAATTATATTTCACCTTGCTTACCTTCTCAGTGCACCATTTCTTAAACACAAAGCACAATACCCTTATGGAAAGGAGAATCCCAGAATTCCAGCTAGTCTGTTACCGGCTCAGAATTGATCCTGACGGACACAGGCTTTGCACAAAGCCATTTCAGCTTTTACATTGTTCCTCATGAAATACATCGAGCAGCAGTTTGATATCTGTAGCTCCTCCCTAGCTGTGTGTTGACATAACAAGCAAGATGGTATCCAATTTCACTTCAGGAATCACTGAACAAGAAAAAGCAGGCAGTGCTGACTGCTGACATATTCCTGTCGTAACTATGATGCTCTAAGTATATAACTCAGAAAAAGTTTGTAGAGAAAGACAACTCCCTTACTAAGCCAAAATAAAAAGTAAAAATAAATAACAAGCAACCTTTCAGACTTGCAAAGGTTCATGATTCAAAGAAGGGCTTTCTAGGCATGAAAGCTTTCCTGGTTTTCCTAATTGTAGTAACTGATCTAAAATTAGATCCTACCTGTACCCACAAATTTTGTATTGCTTTTCTTCTTAACAGTTTTCTACTGAGCCCCACTGGAAATGAGAGGATATTTCTCCCTCCCCACAAACTCAATCCTATCCAATATTTATACTCCTGCCATCATTCTCCAAGTTATTTTGGTATTTCATCTGCATTGAAGGCTGGTTAGGGCATCACTGAGAAAATTATCCTAGCACTGTATTAGCCATTCATTTTCTAAAATTATTTACTTATCTATCATCATTATTGTTATTATTATTTTACAGCTGAGCTCAGGGACCTGGCAAAAGATCAGGGCTCCATTATTCTAGGACTGTAAATAAACCATACCAGAATCAGCCACTGTCCTCAAAAAGTCTAATATTTTAAACACGAAACAGATAGAGATGTAGAAAGTACTTTTATCTCCTATTTTCAGATAGATAACTGACACACAAGGAAAATAAGTCATAGAATCATAGAATAGTTTGGGTTGGAAGGGACCTCTAAAGGTCATCTAGCCCACCCGCCCTGCCGTGGGCAGGGACATCTTCAACTAGATCAGGTTGCTCAGAGCCCCGTCCAACCTCATCTGGAATGTTTCCAGGGACTGGGCATCCACCACCTCTCTGGGCAACCTGTGCCAGTGCTTCACCACCCTCAGCGTAAAAAATTTCTTCCTTATAGCTAGTCTAAATCTACCCCCCCTTTAGTTTAAAGCCATTCCCCCTTGTCCTGTCGCAACAGGCCCTGCTAAAAAGTTTGCCGCCATCTTTTTTAT